AATAAAAAATTCATTTCTATCTATCAATATAAATATATGAAATAATTTAATATTTATTTAGAATTTAATTATAGTTGAATAGTCTTATTCAAAAAATTTGGGTTACTCATATCTCTTCTTTTTCCTTTTTTTAAACTATGTTTTCTATCAAAAAGTAATATATACATAGGAAAACTTAGCATAGATATTCATGGACGATAGTGAACACTATTTTGCTTTTAGTGTTTTTTCACATTGAGAAAACATAAGTTCTATGAAAATACTAAATGAAACTATGTTAGATAGAAGAAAAGAATTTAATAGAATTCAATATGGATAATAGAGATAAGAATGACTTTAATAGATTCTTTGACATCCCTAATACTATAATAATTTAGCGTAATAATTTAAGTGTTGATAATATTCTTGAAAATCTAATAGGCTATTTTATTTGAACAGAAGGTTAGAAGAAGCTACCTCTATTTTTATTAGATAGATGGTGATTACTATTATTAAGAGACATGTTTCAAAAACCTCTGTTCGTAGATAAATCTCTTTGGTTTTTCTAAAATTGTTAATATCTACTGCAAATTTATGCAACTTTGATATTGATTTTTTTATGAAAGAAAAATTCAATATCGTACTTTAAATGAAATTTTTTGGACTCCGTTTTACACGTTAAGTTTTTGTTACACACAAACTGTTGAAAAACTAAAAAGTTGAAAAATGAAAGCGATTGTTAGCTGCTCACGTTTATGGTCATACGTTTACTATCGAACTTAGGAAAAAAGAGAACTACAAAAAGAAAACAGAGAGAAAGGCACGATCTGTCTCAAAGGTAATTAACTGTGATATCACTTTATCTGAATTCTCATAGACAAAGAAATAGAATTTAACAAATCATCCAATATCCACAATCTGTTTAGTTTATAATGTAACGAGAGTAGAAAGACCTAACCGACGGAAAAAGACATAGGCTTGAGATGATTCGGAAATCAATTCATATTGAGTAGTAAAAAAAAATTGTATTTGAAAGTTTTAATACTTAGATATATTGTGGTTTAGTTTTGACAATTTTTCATGAAATTCCACTGAAAATGAGAAAATCTTACGTCTTTAAAGTTACATGACGCGACGAGTTTTTATCGAAATTAATGAAATACTATCATAAAATCATCTTCGAAGTGACCAATAATGCAGAAACTATCGGCGAATATGTGCTGACATTCGTCGAAACTGTTTGCATCTCGCGAAATTTTTGAAGCTTTAGTATCTAAAGCAAGGGGGAAACAGCTGATTTCAGATTTTTTTGATTTTTTTTTGACTTTCCTCTTGATTTTTCTAATTTAAAACCAACTGATTTTAAACGAGGAAAATCAGAAAAATCAAAAAAAAAACAGATTTCAGCTGTTTCACTCTAGATTGATATTTTGAAGAACAAATATTAAAAATTTTATCATTTTCTTTGATTTTTTTTTGATTTAAATAAAAAAAAAACAGTTTTCCCCCCCTTGATCTAAAGTCAGGTTTTATTTATTATGCTAACTAGTTATGTTGTAGTAACCGTGTCCTCATTCGAACAAATAGGGCCACTTTACCGATAAATTATTCATTCCGGAGCCCGAGTTCTTGAGTTTGAATTATTGGAAATTATATTAAAGTTCATAACGAAAGCTGTCTTGGTGCTTCACTCAAATTCTATGCGCAACTGTTAGAAAAAACTATTTTAATGAGGTTAGGCATCCAAATCTAAAAGGTTTATGCGTGTATGTGAATAAGTCTATCGAAGCTTATTTTCATATTTTCAAACTTCAACCTCAATCAATATTTGTTTTAGCTGGAGCAATAAATTCGACGCCAAAATATTGAATAAATAATGTTTGCGAGAAGAATTAGTGCTCATCTGATTCTGATGATACGTCCTGAAGAATAATTTTGAACCTTGTTATTGATAGCTTTAGTTCGAAGCAAATTGATTTACTCAAACTGACCGACACTATCAAATATTATCCTTTAAAAACCTATTTTTCCCAAAAAAAAGGGAAAAAGAGGATTTGCAACCGGAAATAAGCGAAGCGGGATGCCAGAGAATATCAGAAAAACTTCACTGAATCGCTTATCCTAAATGAATTAAATATCTGGAATTGGAAAGGTTGTCTTTTACAAAAAACAAGTTTCGGAATATATATCGACATTATTTTAAGAAAGTGAGTCTCGATAAAGAAATCTGTCAAACATGTATTTTAGAATTAGAAACCAAGCTCTATCCAACAAATATAAAAAAGAATTATCTTTTTATCATCTTCTGTTTGAATCGAACAGTCTAACATTTTTTCAGGAAATTTTAAAAATATCGTTTATAGCAAATAGAGATTAATAAAGAATGGATTTTTATAATTTTGGAGTTTTTCGTTTACTTTGAGTACTTTTGTTTATTTTTACATTAGTCCTCTTTATTCGTCTTAATGGAAGACGAGAAAGAAATAAAAGAAAAAAGTGCATTCTTAAAATAATCAATATGATGTAGTATATTATTAACGATCAATATTTATCTTATTTGATAAAAATAAAATTATTCTTACTTGAAACTTTAACATCATATGTTATGTAAACAAGAGATTTATTTGAATAAATACATCTACCGACATAATTATGAACATGAACTTGTTCAATAAAAATCAAATGATAATTTGTAATATTTATTATTCTTAGAAATATTATTAAAATTGATTGATAAAAATTTAAATGATCTTTTTTTGTCTCTTAGAATTCTATATCATATTTAAGGTTTTTTCTGTACTCGGTACAATAACTGCTATATCTGGAACTGCAGTTCCTGATCGTACGCAAGAAGCTCAACGTGGTGCACAAATTGGTCAATCTATTACATCAGTTCTTTTGTACGGACTTGGATTATGGGTCGCTTATCGATATAATGAAACAGGTTTACGTATAGTATGTTTTTACTTTTTTTTCATAAATAATAAGTTGAATACTATTGTCTAAGAAAATAATTTATTTCGACAAATCTTCATAGAACAAAAAAATATTATTAAAAAAAAATAGATGTTAATTTAAAATATTCGTTTTAGTCTTTCTATAAGAAAATAAAATATTTTCAAGTATTATTGAGATAATTCGATATTTTTTTTTTCTCTTAAATTATTCATACTCATAAACAATTGATCGAAACCATTGAGTTAGACAATCTAGTTCAAATGATGTTTCATAATAAAAAGATCAATAGACAATAAAATTATTTTGTTAATATTACTTTATGATAGATATTCAGTAAACTCAATACTTTTCATTTGTTTTACATTGAAAATATCAATAAAATGAATGAATATTGAGTTGATAGATTCGTGAGAAAAAAAAACTATAAAAATCAATTATTGATAAATATCTTTGTTAGAAAATCTTCTAGATAGAGATTTATTTTTGAACATTTCTCGAAATGAGCTAAAATAAAATATTAAATAAATAGTTTATCAATAAAATACTTTATTTATATTTAATTTCTATAGTTTGCTTGGATCGGCATAATAGCAATGGTTGTATTTAGTATTGTAATTATTATTGTTATTGCCTTGATTATTCGTATCTTAGTTTCTTCTCAACCAGACCATAAGAATCTCAAGGTTGCTCTTTCAATAAGTATTGTTGTTGTTGTTATTGTTTGTATTGCTGCTTACATACTTACAGTAATTATATTATATCATATCCATTTATATATATATTATAGTTATATGAATTTTTAGATAATCATTATAAAATTGTCCTTCAAATTGGCTAAACAAATTGAATCAAAAAAGTCTTTAGCCACACCACAAATCTAACATTTATTATTATCATGTGAACTTAGATTTAGTTTGTTTTTGTTTTTTTGTTGTTCGTCATTTATTATGTTTTTCTTCTTTTGAAAGAACTCTAGAAATAAATGTTAAAGATCATTTCTTGATCGATACACACATATGTTTCATTGAAAAGAAAAATTATTTATATCTTGAAGACAAATTTTAATCGGTTATACTTATTAAAATAGAATAAACATAGGTGAAACTATCTTTAAATATAATTAAATTAATCAATATCATTTATAAGAAAGAATGGACATGGGTCTGCGTGCAGGTACAGGGATAAAGAAAGTCATCCCTAGTGCCTGTACTCTAAATAATACAATTAAAATATTGTAATATGAATATGTCAAGTCTTGTTCTGACTGAATCGAACAAGGAACTATTAATTCTTATATAGGATTAGAGCCCTATGAAGTGCTTAATTTCACAACCATTTTTCCTTATTAACCTACACCAAAACTGGGTCGGACATGGATACGGTCGATTACTGAATTCATGACCAAAAAAATGAGTAACTTTGTAAATAGTGCTTTGCTTCAAAATTCCGATCGACATCCTATGAAAATGTTAATTTTAACATGTTCTATTGAATTATATATGATTCAATAGGATTACTTTGGAAAATTCTGATAAATCGGTTTCGACTCCTATGCACTCCCGTCCTTTAATAATTTAGTCCAATCACAAAACAGATTTTCTTTATCTTGATTCTTTTGAATGTACATATGAATCATTCTCTACTGTACAAACATTTTTACCCATTTTTATTTATTTGAGGAAAAACAAAAAATCTATACAGTTGATTTATTTCTAAAATGAGTTTTCGATTTGAATTATTTTCAACAGAAATCTTATATGAAATATTTGATTATTTATCATCTTATGATATATTTCATG